TAAGAGCCCTGTGGACAGCTTTACTTGGAGCTCACATCAATGCTATTTTGCTCATTAAAGCCCTCTTATCTAGATATCACATAAAATGCAGCAAACAGCACAAAGTAGTCATAATCATACAGCACTGAAAGAAACCAGTCCATGCTGACAATAATCCCGAACTAAACATGCCCTACCTGCCTGCACCTGGCTCATATTCCTCCAAACATTTCTTATTCATGTACTTTCTAAACGTCTTTTAACTCAACCCACATCCACCACTTCCCCTGGAAGTTCATTTCATATACGAACCACTCTCTGTGTAAAAAAGTTACCCCTCATGTCTGTTTAATTTTTTTCTCCTCTCACCTTAAAAATATGTCCCCTAGTCTTGAAATCCCCCACCATAGGGAAAAGACACCTGCCATTCACCTTATCTATACCCCTCATGATTTTATAAACCTCTATAAGGCCACCCCTCAACTTCCTACGCTCATGTGAAACTAGTCCCAGCCTTTCCAGCCTCTCCTTATAACTCAAACGCTCCATTCCCAGTAACATCCTGATAAATCTTTTCTGAACCCTCTCCAGCTTGATAATATCCTTCCTACAACAGGGCAACCAGAACTGGACACCACTCCAGAAGAGGCCTCACCAACATCCTGTACAACCTCAACATGACATCCCAAGGTCTGAGCAATGAAGACAAGCATGCTATATGCCTTCTTAACTGCCCTGTCTCCATGTGACACAAACTTCACAGAACTTGTGTCGTCACCGGTATTGCTGGCAAACAAGTCATTAATGCTGGCAGGCTGGGAGGAAAGTAGAACTTTTGAATCCTTCAAAGCACATTTTCATAACAGAAAGAAGAACTTGCATTCATATAGCATCTTCCAAGACTCTAGCAGTCCCAAAAGGACTGTTGGAGCCAATGTGTCACCTTTGAAGTCATACTTACTGTTTTAATATTGGAACAGCAAACCAATTTATGACTAAGGTTCAATAGTAATAATGGGTTCAATTAATCTACTTTAGACATTTTGGTTGAGGGCTACATATCAGCTGCAGCATCAGGCAATAATCCCTTGTGCTTCAAGTAGTAATGTGAGATCTTCTACGTCCACATGGAAAAGTAGACAGGGCTCAGTTTAACATTTCCTGTGAAAGACAGTACCTCATAGTGCAGCATTAGCTTAGTATGGCCTTTTAGTGTCAGCTGGACTTTTTTGTTCAAGTCCTGCAGTGAGTTCAAGTTCAAAATCTTTAGACAATGTATCAGGAAATTGTTTCAGCAATGCACAAAAACGTGGACCAAATATTTATGGACTGTTATGCCAAAAACAATTATGCAAGATTCCACAAACAGCAGGAATGAAAGACCAGATGTTCTTTTTGGTTGTAACTGAAGGACAGAGGTTTGACACATGTGCAGAAAAAAAACACTCCATCTCCTTCAGCCAGTGTCCACTTTCTGATCAATAAGCCTTATTTTAAACATGTGCCCTGGCTCTTGCAGTTATGAAGATGGTCAGAATTTGCTGTCATTACTCCATGAAACTGAGAGTAATGACAGGCGTCCACATTTTTGCAGTTAAATGTGGAAATCCAGAAGCTGTTGTCATCGAGTCCCTGTTCCTCTCGGGCATACGGCTGAAGTCCTTGCAGATCAAAACCAGTTACAAATCACTGAATTGGTATGAAGGTCCAGTTTTTACATGATTACTCATATTGTAAAAAACCCATGAAGAAGTTATGCTTTTTTGAATGAGATATCACCTGGTATTTGGAACACCCAGATTGGATGGACACACATCAAGGAGAACATCCTGTTTACCAAAATCCACTGGGAGGTTGCCACATGGTGGTAGCCTTCCTTAATTGGCCACTGAAATGGGTCAAAGGATCACCCAGCTGCCAAGTTATTCACTGCCACAAAGGGCATGGCAATGTGCAGATGCCAGATTCCCCTGCTGAAGGCAATCCCAATTTGCCAACTATCTCAGTATCATCCTCACTACACACAGCCCATTGCTAAAACATTGGACTCTATGATTGCAAGACATTTAGTGATAAGAGCTAACCCAGTGCAGAGGTTAGATGTTTACAGTCATGCACTAAACTTAGTTCAAGAATTGGTATCAATTAGAATCATCAGTACGTTTATAATAGAAACCAGCTTGGTCAATAGACCAGCCATTGATCTTTTCAAAGCGATTTCCACACCCAAGAAGAATCATAAAAATGATCACAACAAAATGAGTGAGAGTTGGTTTTACTTCATGAGTCCAAAGTTTGATCTGACTTCTGACTTACAGAGTGATCTTTATGATAATGCTCAGTGAAAACCATATACTGTCACCTCAACTAAAGATTGTGCTTTTAGTTCAAGTTGCCAACTATCCCCCACCCATTGAGGGTTGAAGTTAATGTTCGTTTTGAAAACTCGAATCAGGGAAATTTGTAAATAAATCCAGTAACATATTTGCTTAGGGATAACAAGAACTGCAGATGCTGGAGTCAGAGACAACACAGTGTGGAGCTGGAGGAACACAGCAGGCCAGGCAGTATCAGAGGAGCAAGAAAGTTGACATTTCAGGTCAGGACCCTTCTTCATAAATGGGGAAGGGGCAGTGAGCTAGGAAATAAAGAGAGACAGGAGGGGTGGGGCTGGGAAGGTAAATAGGACGGTGATAGGTGAGTGCAGGTAGGCAGTGGTGGGGATTAGACAATGAGGTGGGAGGGGCGGATAGGTGGGAGACAAGATGGACAGGTTGTGTCAGATCAAGGAGCAGGGATGAGAGGGAAGGTTGGGCATGGTATGAGGTTGGGAGTGGGGAGATTTTAAAACTAGTCAATTCCATATTTAGGCCATTGGGCTGTAGGCTCCTGAGGCAGAATATGAGGTATTGCTCCTCCAGTTTGAGGGTGGCATCATTGTGACACTGGAGGAGGCCCAGGATGGATATGTCACCCAGGGAGTGAGGGAGGGAGTTAAAGTGGTTGGCAACTGGAAGGTGTTGTCGTTTGTCACGTACACAGCGCAGATGCTCTACAAAATGGTCTCTGAGTCTACGTATAGTCTCACTGATGTAGAAGAGGCTACGTTGGGAGCTATGGATACAGCAGACCAAGTTGGAGGATGTACAGGTGAACCCCTGTCTGACATGAAAGGTTTGCTTTGGGCCTTGGATGGAGGTGAGGGGGGAGATGTAGGGGCAGGTGTAGCACTTCCTGTGGTTGCATGGAAAGGTGCTGGATGTGGTGGCGCTAGTGGGGAGTGTGGAGCGGATGAGGGAGTCATGGAGTGAGCGGTCCCTATGAAAGGCAGATAGGAACGGGGAGGGAATTGTCTCCTTGGTCGTGGGGTCAGATTGTAGGTGGCAGAAGTGACGGAGAATTCACCTGGACCATCTCCAATACCTCCCTCTTCTTCCTGGACCTCTCTGTTTCCATCTCTGGTAACTGCCTCAAAACGTACATCTATTTCAAGCCAACAGACTCCCACAGCTACCTGGACTACACCTCCTCTCACCCATCCTCCCGCAAGAATGTGATCCCCTACTCCCAAATTCTCCGCCTCTGCCGCGTCTGCTCCCAAGATGGTGGGTTCCACTCACAGACATCCCAGATGTCCTCCTGTTTCAAGGACCGCAACTTCCCTCCTCCGGTGATCATAAATGCCCTCAACCGCATCTCTTGCATTTCCGCACTTCTGCCTCACATCCCCTCCCCCAACAAAAATAAAGACAGAATTCCCCTTGTCCTCACATATCACCCCACCAAACTCTGCATCCAACGTACCATTCTCCGCCACTTCCATCACCTACAATCTGACCCCACAACCAAAGAGATATTTCCCTCCCTACCCCTATCTGCTTTCCGGAGGGACCGCTCTCTCCGTGACTCCCTCATCCGCTCCACACTACCCACTAGCCCCACCACACCCAGCATCTTTCCATGCAACCACAGGAAGTGCTACACCTGCCCCTACATCTCCCCCCTCACCTCCATTCAAGGCCCAAAGCAAACCTCTCATATCAGACAGGGGTTCACCTGCACATCCTTCAACTTGGTCTATCGTATCCGCTGCTCCTGATGTGGCCTCTTCTACATCAGTGAGACCAAGCGTAGAATCAGAGACCATTTTGTAGAGCATCTGTGCTCTGTATGTGACAAACGACAACACTTTCTAGTTGCAAACCATTTCAACTCCCCCTCCCAATCCCTGGGTGACATGTCCATCCTGGGCCTCATCCAGTGTCACAATGACACCACCCGCAAACTGGAGGAGAAGCGCCTCATATTCCGCCTCGGGAGCCTACAGCCCAATGGCCTAAACATAGAATTCACCAGTTTTAAAATCTCCCCACCCCCCCGGCCTCCTCCCATGTCCAACCCTCCCTCTCATCCCCGCCTTCTTGACTTGACACAACCTGTCCATCTTCTCTCCCACCTATCTGCCACATCCATCCCACTGTCCAATCCCCACGACTCCCTACCTGCACTCACCTATCACCATCCCACCTACCTTCCCCACCCCCAACCCCACTTCTCTATTTATTTTCCAGCTCCCTTCCCCCTCCCCATTTCTGAAGAAGGGTCCCGACCTGAAGTGTCAACTTTCCTGCTCCTCTGATGCTGCCTTGCCTGCTGTGTTCCTTCAGCACTATACTGTGTTGTGTCTACCTATTTGTTTGCTGTAGCTGCATATCTCATGTTTCATCTTGAGATTAAAATATACATCCAGAAGCCTTGTTATTAAGCTTGTCTCAACAAGGATAAGAAGGAGTTATTTACCTTCAACAGCCAAGCAGCAACGGAAACTGCCAGATCACAAAAAAAAACATAATGTGGTTCTACATGCTTTTCATTCCACCTAATTTTAGAGTGAAAGCAATATTTAGTGCACCTGAAAAGATGGCTAAATTAGTGTCAGAAACTTGGAACTAAATAAATAAGCACCAATAATTTCACTTTGGAAAGCGTGGTTGATCGATGTTACAGGATTCATAACTCACCCGTTTCCTCGTCGCAAAGATGTTCACATGGCTCTAATGTCCTTTGCCCACAAAGGTCTCTTGTCCATGGAGATGTGGAGTTGATTTGATAGAACAGCGATAACTTGGCAGGATTTAACCAATCTGACACATCCAGAAAGCTTCCCTCACTGACAACAAAACTGCTCCCTGAACAACAGAGAATGGCAAAAGTTAAAGATACCAGATCAATGTGATTGTTTCTCCTTCTCATTAAAACATCCATTCATAACCCTGTTTGATGGACAGCGACATCAAGAACAACAGATATTCAGGATTCAAACAGACAAGAACCATTCAATAAAGAGATGTTCATTTGTCACTGAAAACAATTAGAATTAAATCAAAGCAGATAATGGTTCAAGGAATTTTTTGTTTCTAACTCGTCGGTAAGGATTAATTTAATGTAATGCACGCTCTACACGTTGCAACTGCAGCTCCAAGTCATAGTCTCTGCCAATGATGGGGGAGCTTAGAGCTGAAGGCTGTGGAATGGTTATCTACATGGAGCAGTTCCATGGGCTTCACTTGCTGTTGCAAAGAGCTACTGAGATATATTTGCATACTACAAAACTCAATGAATCCAGCGACATAACAAATGAGTGCCAAAGCAAAAAGTGGATGAAACAGTTCAAATCTTCTGATCAGTGGGAATGCTGCATGCACTGCCATCCAAGATTTCCCAGACTTGTTCAGTCCATTGATTTTGGGATCTTCTGAACTTGGTTGGCAGTGAAATAGATCGTAGCTCCTGGGCAAGTCCAGCAAATGGCAGTAGAGTCAAGAACGGAGGACACAGTCACTTTTTATGGTCTCCCTGTCATATTCACTTAAGTCTTTCTATGTACAAGTTTTTTAAACAAATCAGTGTGTGGCAGCAAATGAACGAGTGAAAGTAGGAGGGAGTGAATGGGCAAGTTGTTGAGTGAGTGGGTGCGCAGGTAGGTGAGGTGGTAAGGTGAGTATGTTGGGTGAGTGAACAATTGGAAATGAAAGGGTAGACAGTGGTCAGGGGACAGGGGTAGTGGGGAGCTCTGAGGGTGGAATTCAGCTGGTAATGCAGGAGAGCTGGAGAGCTGATAGTCAGGCAGTCAGGGGCTATTGGAGTGGCTGATGGCATATAGTTTGAGGTGGGACAGGTTGAGGGGTAATCATAGGTGCCAAACAATCAGAGGAAATTGCTTCTGTGGCTATCAGGTTGGATGGTCTGTAGGCAGGGGGGTGTAGTTGGTCCGAGTCTGGGGAGTACTCGGATGGCTGGGGAGAGTTAGGTTGGGGTATAGTTGGCTTAGCTAAAGTTGGGTCAGGTTGTCAGATTAGCTTGAGGAGGTATTGGATGGGTAAATTGGCTAGTCTGCGTGGCCTATGGAATAAAGTTGAGTGAGCTTTATACTTAGGGTCAGGAAGATATTAGTTCAAATAATGACTACTTGGAGCACAGTTCTTGAAAATATTTGAAAGTATTTGAAGATATTTGATCAATAGCTGGCATGTTGTGTTATGAACAGGTTATTGTATGATAAAAAGCTCAGTATATATTATTGCTAATATTCTGTACAGTGTGTATTGCAGAAAACAAGAGTATTATTGATACCTCTTAACATTATTTACAGCAGATTATTATTCCACTAAGAAACCAAATTCAAATACACCTCTTTCCAATGTGTGTTCTGTACTGGCTGAATACAACATTAATAATAAGTACAATAACATAAAAGATCATTTCCTGCTGACAGACTGCCGGGAATTAAGACCTTTTTCCCAAGAATAATAGGGATTGATGCAGAGGCATTGATTAAAAATTTTGTTACTTATGTGAATTACCTCCATTTATCATGATAATATTTGTCATCCATTGCTAAGATTACTGCAATACATACAACTCTCCCTCCAGAATGGGAAAGCAAAGGAGAAGAATGTTGTCTTGCAGATCAATATGCTTTCCTCATAAAGTTATATTTAGAACAAAAATACTTGCAGGTTCTGCTTTGGTGGGAAAGAAATGGCCTTAAAACTATTGAAATCCTTTTCCTGCCCTTAATTTTGCAAGCCATACATTAAGCCAGTGCAGAAATCATTAAGGACTAAAGTGTTCACACGCAGAGATTTCAATGAACTATTTAAACACAGTTTTTAGTCATAAAGAAACAAATTTATTCAATCCTATGTGAAAATCCACATTGATGTACGTTCTGTACTGACTTCTCCAGTTAGCATGTCACCTGAACTGCATTCATTTTTGGGCCTCATTCAATTTACTATAATCCCACAATAAGTGGAATCTTGTGATCATTATATTTCTTCAGAAAAGTACACTCCTCTTAGCCTCACGACTTTCAAGTTTGGGCCAATTCTAAACCCAGGCTTTGGGCCACAAGATCCCAGGCAATTTGTCTTTCCTCCCAGCACAATATTGTGATCTCAGATCCAAAAGATTGCACTTGCCCCCATTTCCAAAGAAGGGTCCCGACCTGAAACATTAGCTTTCCTGCTCCTCTGATGCTGCCTATCCTGCTGTGTTCATCCAGCTTCACACTGTGGTGTCACTTGCTGACCATGTAGCTTGGCTATACATTGCCAAAAATGACTTAATTACCGCAAACTGTGTCCTATTGCCGGCCCCACAGCCAAGTCCACTAAGATCATTTCAGAGAGTAGGCACAACTGCAAACTTCTCGGATGTAAATCTAATTTGAACACTTTCTACTTCACTGTCCATCCTCACCTCCTCACAAAGGAGCTCACAAATTGTATGTGCAACACAGCTTTCAAAAACATTGTCATCACTTACACCTGCAATTTAGAAAAATAAATCTGACCATCTCGTTTTAAAACTAGGAGTTATTTTCAATGTTGGTCTTTTTCCTTAAGACCTGCCATTTTGACAACTTACTCAAAGCCCTTAAATTAGGGTTTAGCATTTCCCCAAAACCTAAGCCATTCTGCTGAAAGCCTGTGTTGCCGTTAGTGCCTGCAGAACCTGCAATTGCCTTACAGTCCTCCAGCACCAGTTAACCACTACTTCCTCACTTCCAACACATTAGCCTCAATAGATATTCATTTTACAACTTTGGTGTCGCTCTGAGACCCAGTTACCCTGCGCAATTTTACTAAATCACTGACTTCACCGCAGTCACAAGCCAAGGCATCTTCACCTAAGTTTTGTTCCCCTGATTTTGTTCCCCTCAGTTTAGTCCTGACTTTGTACTCACTTGTCATTTTACAGAAAATAATCTTAAACATCATTTTATATGTAATACTCACTGTGTAAACTTATGTAAATACTTGAACTAATTGTCGCATTTGCCTTTTAACATTTTAACCTGTAATGTTAGGAGATGAACAGCAGTGGACCTGAGCTTGGGCAACGGAAAATGAACCATCTTTATAAACATGCGCCAGGCTTCAAATAGAGACTATCTCCAAGATCACCTTTTTAAATCAATGATGTGCATTCAAAAACACTTGTGCTCGTGTCCTCATCAACTGCTGCAATGTGCAAGATTGAATTGACCCAGCACAGATCCTGATGTGGAGGTGCTGGTGTCGGACTATAGTGGACAAGGTCAGAAATCACACGACACCAGGTTATAGTCCAACAGGTTTATTTAGCAAAGCTCCGAAAGCTTGTGTTTACAAATAACCCTGTGAGACTATAACCTGGTGTCATGTGATTTCTAACTCAGATCCTGACAACAAAACTGACCCTGACAATTGCAAGATTCCACTGATTGAGGTGGCTCAGGAATACTGTTATACTCTTCTGGTTGACATGAACTTAGCAATTACACAACGGGGGCTGAAACAGTAACATGGCTACTTTATCTGAGGATTAAATTACTTCTGGATAGAGTTAATTGCGAGGTTTATTAAAGTACATCTGATCTCCACTGTCGTTGGTGCTGTTGCCTATCAACTGAAGATAAGTCTGGGACCAATAGATCACAGTCTGTTGAGGTGATAGTGACTGACAACAATTTATGATACATCCCTTAAAGGTAGATACGTATACCGTTATCAGAACAGGGAAGTCTTTTCAAAGTATGCTTTGTTTGAGATGCACAGGCAGTAATGGGCAGGTTTGGAAAGCTTTTTTTTCAAAAAAGAACAATTCCCTAAACAAACCAACTAGTGTATACCAGTGAAAAAAACACAATATTTCAGAGTAAAATTTTTTTGAAAAAGTCATTCTTAATAATTTTAAATCAGGTTTAATGATTCTATGATTCTAGTTATTTACCAGTTAAGAACACAACACAATTACTAAAAATATTTTGGTGACAAACTCATTTTCAGTTGGAACAATTAAACTCCATTTTAAATACATTAAAGGACTGGAAAAAAGACAAAAAAATGAACAATTATGTTTCGGGAAAATTAATTATGGAATTATAAGGACTTAGGCAAATGAATTTCTGGGAATCTTGAACATTCACATAGCCAGCGTAATTTTCAGTGCATTTTGAAAGTGACTTTCCAAAGTGGAAGGTGAACCTATGATTTTTGGATAGATTTTATTGCATCTTTTTATGGTTGAAGGAAATGACCAAGCACTTGTTTATACATGTGATCTATTGGTTCAATCATTTTTCTGCCCAATCAAGCCAAACTAGGAAGCTGATAAAGTGGGGTTTGGTTAAAACCATTTGTGTTAAATTTAGCAATTATGGTCAATTGTCAAATATATGTGTTTTATCCAGAAGACACTTGCTAACTTGGAGCTGTTGGAAAAATAAGGACTTCATAATGCACCTCACGACTATTGTCAATCAATAATTCTATACTAATTCTAAATTTACAATAATTCTCCCCGGGACTTAATGTCTCCTCAATACAGCAATTGGTTATGAACGTGACCTTGCCAAGAACAGAGGTGTCAGTACGACACTAGATGTAGCTTAATTTGTTGATTGCTTTCTCCAACATTGCTCTTGTATTTTGAAAACTACTTAACTAAGAGAATTATCCTCACTATCACAAGAATTTATTTTGTTTTATGTTTCAAATGAAATTTATGGTGGATAATTAGTTCTGAACTTATTTTATGAACTGGTATGGATTATTTCAGCAATTAAAAGGAACATGGGTATGAATTGACTAGTTAACATAACCAGACATCTCATCTGCTCAACACTGTTAGTTGACACCGTTAGGATCATTAGTATGCAGAAGCAAAAGAAAATTAAACCAATGAACATTACCAAATTGGTAGCAGCAGAGATTAATTATTTTCATATCATTTTTCTTTATCTGAATTTATTGAATGAGTCACGTGAGATTTGAAAGAATTTGAGCTCTGAATGTAATCAGCACAATGGACCTAAATTGAAGCCTTAAAGTATATTTTCTTCTCGAGTACCCATTCAACTAATTTGTATATTGCTGTACACAATATCTGTCTTGAACCAGCATAATTGGTAATCTCGTAAAACACTTCTTTCAAATAAATCTCTTTCATTTATTCAAATGTAATTATCAGTTGAAATTTGATTAATCTATCTGAAAATAGGACTATCAAAAAAAAAGTATTTTTAATCACAGCATCCATCCATCACCTGCAAGTACATTGGGTTTAAATGATGGAAAAAGACTTCCAAATATATTTAAAATTTCATGCTGGTTATGTTTAGGTACTGCAATCAATTTCTTGGTAAATTAGAAAACGAATGAATTAAAAAGCATAATAAAACTTTCCTAGTAATGTCCCTATGCCCAGAAGGAAGAGATTAATTGTTGAGTCATTTGGTGGCCTGCAAAAAGCTAACCATGTGGAAATGGCCATTGATAACTACCCATTGCTTGGTCCATGGCCGGCTTTATTGGGTAGGCCCTATTTCTCAGTAAATCTTTTTAAAACTAGCACAAAATTTTGTGATGACAATTTATCCTTGAAATGCTGTACTATCTCACTGCGATTATGCTGATTTTAGATGGATTGCTGGCAAAATCAACCAACTGAGCAGAAATACTTAATGAACAAACCGGACTTCAACTAATTTTTATAAATACATTCCAAAGCAGTATAATTTTTTCCTATTTTCTGGCATGCACCAATGTTTGCTTTCTCCTCTGTATTGAATGTAGAGAAAAATGATTTGAGTAGAAACAAGACACAGACCACAGCTGGTGCTGAGCCACTCCCAAGGATTGTAACACACAGGAAATTCACACCATTCGAACAGTACAAAGAAACCAACATCAACGAGAAGTCTTTCTGTCTCCTATGAGTACTCACAAGGGAAAACACTCACCATCAGCAATGAAGTGTTCAGGGACATGTAAGGTCACCTTCACCATCAGGGGGCATGTCAAGTGACCTCCATATACCACCGTTAGGACACAGCTGCACACCGTGATTAAAGTGAGAGCAGTTCTATTCAAAGGGCTCCTGGGAGAACCTAGGAAACAAAGCAATTGTTTTCAAAAGACCATACTCAGCCATATCCTTTATCATACCTCAACACTGTCAGACTCTGCATAGCAGAGCTCAGATTTCAGCTCCTCTATCACAATTCTCAATTTACTTTTCTTTCTCTATTCACTTTGAATTCTAAACATTGCATTAAACATCATCCAAACTGCTGTTGTTCAAGAATTAGTATTTGCCACAACACAGAGTGAAATATGGACTCAATCCACAATCTCAGAATGAAAAATTTACACTCATTTGAAAATACCCCATTTCTATATTGAAAACGTTGAAAGGATAAAATATCCCAAAAGGCCATGCAAATAAATGATCGATACTGAAGCATATTTCCTGTCCACGTAGAATACTTCAAAAACGTGTATTTTCCCCACAGTGAAAATTCACAGTGTAATTTCCAGACTGACCACTGCCTAAAGATTTAAACCACAATAGACATGAAGGCTTTCCAGTTCATGCATGAAAGAGAAGTCTTTCATTGCAGAGTGAACGAATCAATAAATTGTCGGTTTGCTCAAAACAGACGTATTGTCAGATTAAAGGATCAAGCTAACTTTGTACACTGTTTGTATTGCATGTAGGTATAATGGCTATCCATTTTAAAAAAGAAGAATGCTTTGAAATTTAATGAAATGTGTGATATTAGAAAAGTAGATTATTGAGGTGAGAACAACTCAATTGCTCAACCTTATTAACTGTATCTTATGTGTTTCGGAGCAAAGAAGACTGAGGAGAAATTTGCATGTATAAGATTATGGCAGGCTTATATACGAAAGGGAAGAAAATACTCTTCCCATTATCTGATATTAAAGGGCTGATGAGTATAGAGATAAAGGATAAATATAAAGAAAAACACTTTTAGACAGACAGTGATATGGCCTGGAACGTGCTGCCTATTAAGGTGTCAGATGCAAAAACAATCAGTGATTCCGAAGTGGGCTTAGGTTTAAGGTGAGAGGGATAAGATTTAAAACAGACCTAATGGGAAACTTTTTCACGCAGAGGGTGGTGCGTGTATGGAATGAGCTGCCAGAGGAAGTGGTGGAGGCTGGTACAATTACAACTTTTAAAAGGCATCTGGATGGGTATATAAATAGTAAGGGTTTGGGGGGATATGGGCCAAATGCTGGCAAATGGGACCAGATTTATTTAGGATATCTGGTCAGCATGGACGAGTTGGACGGAAGGGTCTGTTTCCATACTGTACAGCTCTGTGACTGTGACTCTGCGAAACTGAATGGAAGCAAAGCATATTTGGAGATTATGCAACTTGAGTAGGAGAGGGAGACAGAACATGTTGTAGCTCAAAGGTGAACTGACATGGGCTCAATGGGATGAATGCCTGCTTCTACTTCTGTACATTAGTCTATAGCCAAGGTTTTCCATTTTGTAGCCAAGTGTGGAGGCAGACATGTTCAACGACAACTGAGCCAAAGGTAAAGTACATTGGATCAAGATCTAATCACTTGCTAAGAGCTGACTGATGAGATTCTTGGTGCAGCATTGTAGTTTTGTCTTGCCAGAAGTTGCTGGCCAATCAGAGATGGCAGCTTCTGGGTCTGCGAGATCATCACTGGAGGCCGAGTCTTAGAGTTCTAGGCCTTGGGGATCTAACAACAAGAAGGTAATTCCTTTTCTTTTTCTTTCGGGTCTCACCGGGAGAGTTGGGTTTTCAGTGATTACCCTCTTGCCTGCATCCCTGCCTCTCATTGGCACAAGATTGAGATAAATAGAGACAAACCCCACCCACACAGGTAAACCTGAATTCCCACGTGGGAAATCAGCCACTATTTTGTATGCCTGGAAAGTAGGTAATTGGGCTGGTTGCAAGGTGAAGCCTTTTCATGACCATGAATTGATTATTTTCGAGCCTTGAGTCCTGGCAAGTCAACAATTTTCCTATGGACCTTCCTGCACAGCGCTCAATTGTTCAGGAGGCACGAGTGGCTGAGTATCGCTCCAGGTCAAATTCATCCCATTATTGGCTCTTCCCACTACCTTCCTTGCCATCTACAGGGACGGCGGACAGAAATAAATGTGCCCAAGTCTCTGGGATCAAAATATAAAGAAAAAAACACAATCCAAATCAGTTTAAGCAATGAAACCACCGTATTTAGAATCATTGCCATGTGGAATTGATAGCAACAGAAACAGAAGTTGCTGGAAAAGCTCAGCCAGTCTGGCAGCATCTGTGAATAAAAAATAAGAGTTAATGTTTTGGGTCCGGTGACCCTTCCTCAGAACTGATGGAAGCTAGGAAAACATTGGTTTATATGCAGAAAATAGGGAGGGGGATGGGGTAGGGAGTAAACGATAGGATAGAGCCCAAAGAGAGAGAGAAGAGCAGTTTGATAGATAAAGGAGTGATAATGATCTAGCTAAGAGGGTGATTAGCTGTTAATGGAGACTGTTAACGACTAACAATAGGTACTGTGTAATGGCAGGCTGTGTGATAACAAGGCCTGGTGTGCGGGATAGGGGGCTAGGACATGGGAGAGTTTAGACCCTAAAATTATTGAACTCGATATTGAGTCCAGAGAGCAGCAGTGTCCCCAAGTGAAAATGAGGTATTGTTCTTTCAACTTGCATTGAGCTTTGCTGGAACACTGCAGTAAACCAGAGACAGAGATGCTGGCCAGGGAATAGGGTGGTGTGTTAAAGTGACCACTCCCTACCCCATCCCCTTCCCTATTTTCTGCATGTAAACCAACATTTTCCCAGCTACCATCAGTTCTGAGGAAGGGTCATTGGTCCTGAAACATTAACTCTGATTTTTTTCTTCACAGATGCTGCCAGATCTGCTGAGCTTTTCCAGCAACTTCTGTTTTTATCCCTGATTTACAGCATCCACAGTTCTTTCAGTTTTTATTTGGAATTGATAGCAACTGGGTTCAGTAGATTCTCAGTTAAAGCATTCAGAAGCAAATTGGATCAATTTCTGATTGATCAGAGAGCAGTGAGATATGACTGTAATGCAGAAAGTGAATGAAAAATCTTTACGTTGGTTTCTTAAATACAACTTGGACGTTGAAGCATCAGGAACAGTGATCACTCATCATGGCTTAATTGTTGATATATAAAGTCGATATAAATCACTCTTAAATAGAAATAGTTCCATATGTTGGAATCAGTGTATGACTTACAGGCCCTAAATGCCATGGCCATAATTTCTGCAGTCTTGACAGCTCCATTAATGTTGTAAATGGCTTTATTTCACTGCTACATTTTATATCAGGTATTGTGGGTTATGTAAGATGGTCATGTATGAGTACCTTTTGGTCGTGTTCTCTTTTCTGCAAATCAATAATTCTCAATACAGGGTCCCATTGCCATTTCTTACAAACGTCCACTTCCTTTCTCTCAACTCCATTGGCTCAAACTTGTTAATCTTTCCCTTCCCTCCAAGCAAGCACTGTTCTTTCTTTTGATTCTATAGACGTGAGTTTGCCTCAATCCTCACATCTATCTTCAATCCATTGTCCCATTTTTTCTCTGTGTCTAGCTGCTGTTGGAGTAGTCTTCAGTTCATTTCTTGTTCTCCATTCCTTTGCACTCCAAACAGATGGATTATGTGCTCAAGGAATGTTGGACAAATACTTTGGAACAAGAACACTTTGTGGCAAAGGCTGCATGCATTCAGATATAGGGTCTTCAATTCAATCTATTTTATAAACCATTTTCCTTACTCTGAGCTTACTTGCTGTTGCACTTATGTTTGTCTGCTCTGTTCCTTCCTGTCACATTCTGGCTGGCATTACCTTTGTCACTACTGTGTATAGAATCATAGAATCCCTACAGTGTGGAAACAGGCCCTTCGGCCCAACAAGTCCACACTGACCCACACAGCATCCCACACAGACCCATCCCCCTAATCTACGCATGCCTGAACACTACGGGCAATTTAGCATGGCCGATCCACCTAGCCTGCACATCTTTGGGCTGCCTATTGCCTTGATATTTAACTTTCCAGATCTCTCCTCTCATGGACCCTACCTCTCACTATTTAATTTAAAGCCCTCTCTACAGCCCTAGTTACATGATTCACTGGTTACAGTCTGAATCAGATGAAGGCTCCCCCTTTCTCCAGTACTGGTACCAGCATTTTTTAAATTTATTCATGGGATGAGGGCGTCACTGACCAGGCCAGCATTTATTGACCATTCCCAGACTGGCAGTTATGAGTCAACCACATTGCTGTGGATCTGGAGTCACATGTAGGCCAGACCAGGTAAAGATGGCAGTTTCCTTTCCTAAAGGACATTAGTGAACCAGATGGGTTTTTCCAACAATCGACAGTGGGTTAATGGTCATCATGAGACTTGTAATTCCAGATATTTATTGAATTCAAATTCCAACAGCTGCCGCAGTGGGATTTGAACCCAGGACCCCAGAACATTACCCGAGTCTCTGGAATAACAGCCCAGTGATAATACCTCCAGGTCGTTACCTCCCCATGAATTAAAATGAATTAAATGAAGTAAAATTCATTTCTCCCACATCAATGTTTCAGCTCCACATTCAACTCTCACCTTAACTACCCTATTCCAAATTGCTTGTGGGACAGGTGGGAATCCAAGGTTGAACCCTTTGTTCTACTTTTTAATCTAGTCTCCAGCTCCTTAGCAGAGAGTCTTTCATAGTCCTACCCATATCGTTGGTATCCCATGTGGACCATAATGACTGTATCTTTCCATAAGCACTCCAAATTCCTTTCCAGCCCGGAAGAGATTTCCTAATCTTGGTACCAGACAGGCGACACATCCTTTACAATACACAAACCTAGTTACAGAGAATAATGTTTCCCCCAAGCAAACTGTCATTCCTTTTTGCTCTCCCCACTTCAATCAATGATCACCTACACCCAAGTACCGAGGTCAATTTGTCCATCCTCCCTCCAGTCCCTCCTCTCATCCACACAAGCTGTAGTGATGTTGAACTGGTTCTAAAATTGCAAGGACAAAGGCTGCTCCA